GGCTCGAATGATTTATCCAGTTGAGAAAAAACCATGTTTAGTTTAAGACTCGAGGACATCGACTCACATTTCTTTTCCAGGTTTTAAGTACTACTTCCACCAGCAAAGCCCTCACCCGAAGATTATTTTTGAAATTGAATAAAGTATCAGTTTCATCCTCACCTGATCATTTTAAAAATTGTATGAAGTTTCGGTTTCATCTTCACACCGAAGATAACAGATAACAGATTTTTAATTAATAAACTTAATAAGAAGACTAGAATTTCACTTAATAAGCAATATAAAATTCTAACTATAATGTCATTAATACTTTAATAATATGGAATGGAATGTGTCGTTAAAAACAAAACAGAATCATATATAACATATAAGCTCTAGGTGTTTCCATATAGCTATGTTACACTTTAAGAATTTGGTACTTTTCCATTTTGCCGGCGCAAGCGATAAAGTCGCCAAAAATGATACAGCTGATACCAAATGAAATATCCTTGCTGGTAATCTTTTACGCCTCATTTTCAAAACAATTCTCAGCCATTTCTTATCGCTTGATTGTTTCTTTCAATACAATTACATAGAGTTTTGACCCAGATAGTTCAAATTTATACCCTAAGGATCGCGGCAATTAAGTCAATTGGATGTAATCACACCACTCACCCGAAGGCGAAAATATAGAAAAGGAAAGTCAATGGTTAAATTCATCAATTTTAATGAGAATGCACAGCAAAGTAAGCACTGCGGTTTACTAATTCGGAATAAGCTATTTCAAACGACTGAAAAATCCTTGCATTAAACGTATCCAAATTAAGATATAACTTGAAATTATGTAGATAATTACTGAGAGAATTAGATTTTTGTTGTACCATGAAGCATAGCAAATTCTTAAATAATGTCTTTTACAAAATTTTAAACCATATTAAAATGTTCTACCTTCAAAATAAAAATTTCTTAGAACTAACATTTGTTAACACTTTTTATGTGTGTGTGTGTGTTGTCACCAATAAAGTCTGCTTGGCGAAATTTGCGCCGGCAAAACGGTAAAGTACCAAGAATTTATATTGTCTTACATTGTTTTAAATAATTGATTTCTATTTGAATTTCCCATGTTCTAATTGAAGATTAATTTTGATAACGCTGGAAGTCAACAAGTTAAATTCTGTTTCTGTTCTGAATGAAAAGTGTTTACGTGGCAAAATGTTATTTTTATTCTGATTGATAAATGTTTCCGGGGTGCATAATACTTTCAGTATTTTTATAACTGTATTGCTATCTATGAATGAGTTGTCTGTTCTGTTTGGTTTTATTTTATGAATAATATTAACGGATATTTTTTTCCCTCCTTGAGAATCAACATGTTAAAAGTGAAAAGGGTTTTATCTAGTATATTATTTAAACTGTGCCACTAATGTTTTGTTTTCATTCAATAAGAATACTTTTTTTGAATTAATATTTAGTTGCATTATTCTGAAAAGGCATTCTGAAACTTGCTACATTTTCGAATTGTGTGTTTATCAGATTTTTAAATTATTATTTTGTAATATTTGAGAAAAACTTATATATCTAATTGTGTTTTTCAAAGAGAACTACAGTCGAAATTTAATTTCTTAAAGCATTTAGGATTTTGTAGACATCATAGGCATTACTAATAGAAGATTTATCAAAGTTAAATTCTATTTTGGGGATTTTATGTTAACTAAATTTGTGCATTTTATTGTCCATTAGCAAGTGTACCAATCCTTGTGAAATGTTAATTTCGTTTTCGAAGTAATCTCAGATTAATAATTTTGTTCGATGTTGTTTTTCAAATATTATGTAATTGTTAAGTGTAATTAAGAAATTCATAAAATTTCTGAACATATAATTTTCTTCAAACATATATTGAACTTTTCAACAGACATTGAAAGCACGATAATATGGAATTTTTCGGACTAGCCAGAAAAAGGATCTGCAAGTGTTAGCCACAGAACTGGGTCTGCCTGTCTCAGATAATTCGAAAGTGATTCAACTCAAAGAGCTAATTACGCACGTAGACAAAAATTCAATAAATTTCCAATTAAGCTAAGGTTTTGAAACATCCACTTAAGTGAATCTTCGAAGTGATGACGAACATCTGCCTACAAAACGGCATACTCAACTAAATTGCTTATTGCAAAAATTCAAGAGAGCTGCTGCGAACCAGTGGAAGATCCAAACCCACGTAGTAAACTTTTCTAGAATCGTCCCGATTCAGTAAAGTTTGAAGAAAATCATCCAGATTCTGTGCTGTTGAATGAATCACCTCGATTCTGTATTGTTGAATGAATCATTCCGATTCAGTGAAGATTTGAAAAGAATCATCCTGATTCTGTGCTGTTGAATGAATCATTCTGATTCAGTACAGGTTTCAAGAGAATCATCCTGATTCTATGCTGTGTGATGAACAATCCCAATTCAATGAAGTTTGAACTGAATCATCCTGATTCAGGAAATTTTGTGTGATGAGTCATCCCGTTTCAGTGTTTGAAGAGAATCATCCTGATTCAGGAAATTTTGTGTGATGAGTCATCCCATTTCAGTGTTTGAAGAGAATCATCCTGATTCTGAGGTGTTGAATGAATCATTCCGATTCAATGAAGTTTGAGAAAATTCATCCTGATTCTGTGAATTTTGAGTGAATCATACCGATTCCACGAAGTATGAAGAGAATCATGCCGATTCTATGCTGTGCGATCAATCATCCCATTTTAATGAAGTTTGAAGTGAATCATCCCGATTCAGTGAAGTTCGAAGTGAATCATCCGATTCAGGAAGTTTAGAGTGAATCATCCCGATTCCATGAAGTATGATGAGAATCATCCGGATTCTATGGATTATGAAGAGAATCATACCGTTTCAATGAAGTATGAAGTGAATCATCCTGATTCTATGCTGTTGATGAATAATCCTGATTCAATAAAGTTTGAAAAGAATCATCCCGATTCAATGATGTATGGAGTGAATCATCTTGATTCTATGAAGTTTTGAATGAATAATCCTGATTCAACGAAGTTTGAAGAGTATCATCCTAATTCTATGATGTGCCATGAGTCATCCTGATTCAATGAAACTTGAAGGGAATCATTCTGATTCTATGTTACTGATGAATCATCTCGATTTAATAAAGAATACGACGAGCAAAAAATATATTATGGTCGTCGACGTCAAAAGGCTTCTTACAAACCAGATGTTAGAGTATGGATGATGTTACATCCTATTTGCAGACCAAAGAAACATACTTCTGGTTCTTTGTTGAGACGTCGTATGAGCCAGAGGGGAAGTCTGTAACCCCACAGCTCAATGAGTGCCACCTAGCAGCCATCCGAAAAAACACCTGCCCCCAGCCCACACCACACACACACACAAAAAAAAAAAAAAAAAAAAAAAAAACTATAGCCTTTAATCAGTGGAGTCAAGAACTAAGCATGTTGTCCTCGAGATTTACTTTGTAACTTAAATGTGTAATTATAACGTCCTTAATTGTAATGTTTTATCCTAATTGCGTTTTGTTAATTAAAGCTATTTAAAAAGGCCAGGTGAGTCTTTTGTTTATGGTAGCTTTGGTTAGAATAGGTAATTTTGCTTTTATTCAGAACTGTTTGATAAATTGTGCTTTATAGTATTATATCCTGTTTATTTTTCAGATTCAAAATATTGTATAATAAGATCCTTTAATGGAACTTTATAATATGAAAGCGAAAAGTAAAAATGTTTTATTTTAATGTTATTTTTAAAATCTAATTTCAATATGTTACCATTATTTTAATGAAATTTATCAACGTTACAATGTTTTAGGAAAAAATCGAAAAATTCTTAGATCTAAGAATTAAAATTTTTTTATACAAGCTGATCTTAAAATCCCCAAAATGTTAATAAGTCGCCAAATTTAGAACCGTTTAATAAAAGAATTCACATCACCAAAAGCAAAAAGTTGTTTAAGAGCTCTTCATTAGAAAAAATGAATTTTGAAATGCTTATGTTTAACTTCTTGCTTAGAAACTTGAGTATCTCATCATTTATATTAGAACTAGGACCAAATTATAACCCAAGAACCCATTCAACAAATAATCATATTTGTTAGCGAATCGCCAAAAATATTCCTCCAAAATGATAATTCACATTCGAAATGGCAGTCGTAAAAATAGACAGAAATTTCAGATGATTAAAATTAAGGACTTTGAAAAGGAAGGGGACTTAGGGATGAAAAATCGATTCCAAAAAAAAACCTAAGGGCTCTTAAGGACCGTACGAACACTGTCAGAGTGTCTCGTTACTGGATGCTAAACTCTCAACCCCAGTTAAAGTGTCTTATTACAGAATGCTTCATTAAGGTGTCTTGTTATTAGTTGTTATGTCTCTTTTATTAGAGTGTTACAGACAATTACAGTGTCCTTACAGAATGCTCCAGTCTCAACCCCAATAACAGCATCACAAGTGACATACAGTAAAAGCAAAGCTTGAGATATACACAGTGACAGGTAGCAAATTTAGTGCTATTTATGAAACTATGGCACATGGTGCCATTATTCAGTTTCTGTATTACTTTCTGTAAATGAATTTCATACAAATTATATTTTTCAGAATTCAACAATTCATTACATAATTTTCAAATAATAAAAATAATTCTTTTCAATGTTCAAATATCAGTTTTATTTAAGGAAATATTACATTTGTAAATGTAAGTCATAGACCTTAATATAGATTTCTTTTCAGGAAATCTTGGAAATAACAAATTTATAAACACATAAAACTATTGAAATAATTTAGCTGTCAGTTTACAAAATCTGAATATTAATGTCCCTAAGTGACTTGAAGTAATATCAAGTGAAAGTCCTGTCATAAAAAATATTAGATACCTGAATGGTTTATAATTTTTACTTCTTTTAGAAAAGATACTAAATCTTTATTATGCATCTTACATAATTTTAAACTATTGGGGGAAAAAAGAATATTTTAAATGCAATTAAATTCTACATTAATAAAAGGTTTCATTTAAGGAAAGATTTGTCCTTCATGCAGTATCTTTTAATGAAATATTTTTGAGCAACCATTTCTAACTCTGCAAGAATTTCTACAGTTGGAGCCATCTGTGCAGTATGTGTTTGATAATTGCTACCTGTAACAGAAATAAAAATTAAAATTAAGTTATTAAATAAAATATAACCAGATTTCAGAAGCAAATTCCAAATAAAAATAAATGGGCATGAAATCAAATACATAACTGCCAACTTTGAAATATGAAAAACTGGGAATTTCAGAGAGGATTTTGCACTGTGTGGTGATGCCATTTCAAAAGAATTCCAGATTAACTAAAATTTGCTTGATAATGCATAATTCAAGTTACTGAGCTATTTACAATGATTATGATGTAAAATATAACTTAAATTAGATACTGTATTATTTTGTTTTCTTTGGCTAATTTCCCTTTTTTTTTTTTTTTTTTTTTTTTTTTTTTTACACTTTTACATCAGAAAAAATGCCAAGTAGGAAAAACAGCTTTTATTATCAATTGTATGGTGAAATATTGGTTCATGAAAGTAATGCACTCTTGAAAGCCATTTGTTGAATGAAATGCTTGTAAACTAAAACAATTTTCCGCATGTGAATTAATGTAAAATCGATTCATTTGTATGAAAGAGAATGGACAGGATAAGTGGAAAATGATGTTTGGGTGTGAAATTCCTTCAATAAAAACACCTAGAAGACATATTTTTCATATCTTTTTGCTCTAAGTGTCACTCTGCTCGAAACTCACTAGGCTTCCTTTTATCTCAAAATCATACATAACACATTTGTGAAAGTACTTAAAGCCTGTGTCTGCAACCCAAGCTGCCATAGTTTCCTCCAAGCCAAATTCATGATCCTGCAAGTCATTTGCAACCAAACTTTGTTAAATGAGAGTTAAGCAATGGCAAATATTAAAAAGATGTATCTTGTGGAATAGGTTAGCTCAAAATATCTTTGAAAATTATAGGTTGCTGGATCATAGAACAAGTGTTCATACTAGCTACTTTATTTTTTTCATTCATCCAAGCTACTTTAAGTACTACTATTTGTATTTAAGTACATGAAGATTCTAAAAATATAGAGAGAATTAATATATGTACTTACCCATTTGAGCCTTTTTCTGCCCATAGACAACTTTTCCATCAAATTCATCACAGGGTACTTTCAGATCAGGATCTACTTGCTGAATGGTGCAATTCAAATGCTCTTCTATATCCGCTAAGTACTACAATAAATGTTCACATTTTAAAATACAAATCTGAAAAATTTTGAAATAACACCTAACAAAATTTTGTTTTAATATGCTAATTGCAAACATGCAGTGCACGGGATTTAATGTGACTATGGCTAATTCAGATATTTTTATTGATTTATCGAAGTCCTACCTTTCTGTATACAAAAACATGTCACTTATTCTGATCAATAATTTGGTTAATATGATCAAAATACAGTAGAAGTCCAGAAATCCGCAAAGCTTGGGACCAGAGGTTGTGCGGATTTCAGGACGGAAAATATAAAACATAATATTCGGACTAAAATTGCAAAATAAATAAGGCATATTAGATACATTTAATTAAATTATTATATACATTATTGTAATAATTTATTATACGCATTAAATTATTATTACATATATAAATTGATTATATTATTCATTGTATTATATGTACATAGCATATAGGTTTGCCGATTTCGCCTCATGCAAAGATTTCCGTTTCGAATTCCGGCGTTAAAATCACTGTTGCTGTAAAATTTCAGCAGCTTTTCTTTATTTTTCTGTATATCATACAGAATTATGTCGCAATTCCATACCATTCTGCTATAAATCGAGGAGTAGCACCTCGAATGTATTAAAAAGGGCTGAAATTTAAAATATTCTTAATTTACCCACAAAATATCCGGATAAAAAAAAAGGTAGCACTAAACAATCTCGAGGAAATAACAAAGCTCAGAAAATACAACAACGTGAACTTGAACGAAGAGTTGAGTGAATCCGTTTGCTTTTTTACCTCGATGCAGATTATAGGGGGAAAAAAATTTTTATCTTATTTTTTAAAACTTTTTTTATGTCAATAATTTGGTATTTCCGTTATGACTCATTATTATTCGGTAATTATGATGTCATTATTCAGTAAGTATTTTTTCTTTGATATTTCGTACTCAGTGTTGCGGTTGTACCTATAAACTGAAGGTTTATATTTTGAAAGGCAGCAAGGATTTCAGGTCAGCGGATTTTTGGTATTTGACTGTATACATTTATTAAACAGAAATAAAGTCATCATTGCCAGGTTACACAGAAATGTTGTCAACTAAAGTTGCCAAACATCTTGGTTTTAATTTTGGTCAAACATTTAAAATTAGTCTCCCCCCCCTAAAAACACCCTAGTCTGACACAGACCTTTAATAACTATTGATTTTGAGGGAATCAGACATAGAAAACCTAATCCTCTCCTTTTAAAGTTCTCTTCCAACAACAAGAGCTCGCATATGCGGTGAAAGTGCCTGTTTATATGTCTCTAGTTATATTAAAATAATTTAATTCCATTATTTCCATTTGCAGAATTCTTGATCATAATGCAGGACTGCAAAATTTAAGATTGTAAAAACGTTAAAAAATTTATAATGAATTTATTTAATAGTGTTGGAATAAATGACCTCGGTTCCCTTTTCCATCAGTCGTAACTTAAGAGGAGTTTGTCTTAAAACTTTATAAGATGTATAATTTTATACATCAGTTCAAACTCAGTAAAGAAAATTAATTTAATACTAACCTTACCTAACAGTTAGTTAAATTTTTATCTGACTCAGTGGTTTCAAACTGGCCACCTGCAAGTTGCATGTGGATCCTGAAGAAATTTTATGCAACCCCTAAAACTTTTCAATTATGTACTTTTGCTAATACATTGTTGCTGCCAAAATTTCAAGATTTTACTTACTTGAAGATCAACTTTACATTATTTGCATTTCCATTAAAAACAAACATGAATAACACACAAGAAAATCTATAAACAGAGCTAATTAAATTTACAGTGTGATATAAATCTTATTTGAAGATTTGGAGATAGAGATTTCCTTAACTTTTTTTCATACCTGTCAAAAAAATAAATAAGCTCAGTTAGGAATTTTTGTGCTGAGAATCACAGCTTAGTTTGGGATATCATTTATATGTGAACAGATTTTTTTTTATAGTTGGAAGTTAATAAGGAAAGAACCTGATCGATAAGCAGCTACAATCTGCACTGAAGATAATTTCTAGCAATTTTTCTCTAGGGCTACAAACATTATCGGAATCATAACTTCATCAAATATTAAGCCGTAGTAAGAAATAGAGATGTTTATAATTATTCGCATACAAACATGCATACTTTTGTTCATGCATTGAAGAAAAATTTACTGAATACAAGAAGAATAGGTTATTATTTATTCTTCAATTTTGTCCCATTTGGTGAATTTTCTCTACAAACTTGGAAAATTTTCATATTAATGTTTAATATAATATGTTAGAATTATTTTACAGTTTAAGAATTTAATATTTAGTTGTCAATATAATTGATTTACAAAGCGTAACCAACAAAAATGAATTTGCTTCTGAAATTTACAGAGGCTGTTCGCACATTTTTTAGACGATGTATATTGAATTCACAAAACTAAATTACATAAAATTCTTGTGTTTTAAATGTTCTATTTGACATCACTTATTCTGAACTATCTTTTGACACCACAGTTTCCAGGATAATAGTGCCTTTTGAAGTGGCAGAAGAGGTATTCTATCTCATTCCTCCCAAACAGCTTTCCAGAGTCCTGTTAGGGTTTTGGGATGACATTTGAATAATGCAGTTTTTAAAAGTCCGAAAGCACAAAAATCCATAGGTGACACATCGGGAGATTTAGTAGGGATATCAGTGAAGGGTTATGGCCTTGATACCAGTATTTTGTTCCATTTCTTTTAGGAAATTTACAATGGATTTTGATGTGTGACTGCTAGCTTTGTCCTGATGGAGTCTCACAGATTGATGGCACTATGGGTAAAGCGATGGTATTTCATTCAGAAAAATTGGCGATAAAATATGTTCCTGATAGCATTTGAAGTTAATCTTGACAATAATTTTTTTGGCACTCTCTTTATTTTTAACTTGCCATTATAAGAAAAACCAGCAATAATCATGAATCCCTTAGAAAAACTTTCTTTCGATTCTTTGAACCATGTACTTAAATTTTTTTCTTCCCTTTTATGATAATAAATGGCTCTTTTTTTGTTACAATAATTTAAATACACCCATGCTTCATCTATTGTGACAATTGTTTTCCATTTTTCTTTGGATAAGTGTTTCTCATATAGAATTCTGCAGTGTGTCCTGCGTTGAGCGATTGCTTTGGAAGAAGACGATGCACATGTTGTTTTTTTTGCTTTCTTAAGATTTAAATCAATGTTTATCATTTTGTTTACAGTGGACACCGAGCATTTTAATGATTTTGCAACTGTCCTTTGACTAGGGGGATTTTCTTTTAACATTAAACAACGTACCTTCGCAATAGTCAAATATGTCCGTTTTTTCCTTGGATACTTGTTTGGAATTTTTGTCCCACTTGAGGCTCCACTTTGACGTTTTTTTCCTTTCTTGTTGATGATATTACCTATCAACACTTTTTATATCACAAAACCATGACTCTCACATCGTTTCTGGATAACGGAGTATGCATATTTCTCTTCGGAAAGAGCGTAAATGTAGCCTTCGAACCACTGCTTTGTTAAATTCGACATTTTGAATAAAAACAAAACTTTCAAGCCACAGACAATAATTTTGACTTTTAAAAACCTAGTACAATTGCAATTACTCTTTTGCAGCAAAGGATTTTTTATTACCGCTTACCAAAATCGTCTAAAAAATGTGTGAACAGCCTCTGTAATGTTTAACAAATACCAAACATTAGATTTCAGACTGAAAATAAATATAAATTTGAATTTTTTCCTTGAAATATTATTATTTTTTATGTATGTTTTGAAAAATATTTAGAAATGGAAATTTGAAATTTATTTAAAATACTTTTAATTTTTTAATAACTTTTTTTTTCATTAAAAATAATTTTATAAAAATCAGTCTGATCAGCAGTTTTCAGATTAGCATTTGCCAACATGTTGAAGTAACACATGCATAAATGTGTAGCGAAACCATCAAACAAATATCAGTTCCTGCTTGTTCGACTGTCATAGGTCAGTTGTCATATCAAATTAACATACAGCTGAAAGAACCTTTAAGCAAAATCCTTAAACCAGTTTTTGTGATGTAGTAAGGCCTGGGTGCCTAGCAATGAAACTTAGCTTAGACTTACTATGACTGAAAAGCCATTGTTTAAAGAGAGCCTATATCACCAATAATACCACCTATGATCAGGGCCGTTCCTAGCAGGAGAGCAGTGCATAAACAGGCAGCTGAACTCTTGCAATACCACACCTAAATATTTTAAATCCATTAAATTCATTGTAGTACTTTTAGCTTGAAATAAAAATTTTATTTATCATTGAACATTTTTTTAAAAAATTTTTGGGGCGGCAATCTTAGAATGTATGCAGGCAGCCAATGGCCTAGGAACAGCCCTGCCTATGATTTAGCTTTCCTGTGAAAAGTGAACAGTGTTAGAAGTTATTCCAGATGCTTCTGAAAAAGATATGTTTTTTTTTCCCCCATTTCTTTTTTATTACTTTTTTTTTTCTTTGTAATCTTTTCCCCATAAAAAAACATTGATTACCTTTGTCTTACCAGGAAAGGTGTAAAGATTGATCATTCTTAATGATGCTTCTAGATTTTCTCAGGATAACATTCAAAAGCTATCTTCAATCATATTACAGAATACAGCAGGTGACACTTAATGTGATAATTGTTAATACTATCATTTTATTGATATCGAATTGCTAAAGTTCTACCAGTTTAATATATAAATATGGAAAATATATCACTTTTTGCAGTGGTCTCAACCTTTTTTTTGCCCCATGCACTCTTTTCACCATCACTAGATCATTCCCTGTTTCCTTATCAAAAATCGAAAATACATATATACAGTTATTTAAATTTAGCTTATTTTCTAACAGGTTTTATAAATTAAACAACAAAAGGTTAAAAAACAAAAAAGGTTGGTAAATACCAAAACTTGATTAAAGTATTTTTCATACTCATAAACTTAAAAATAAATACCTAACAGCTAAACAAAATGCTGACTGCATTCCCCTCCTGAAACTAGGAAGAGAGAACTTCCTCTGGTTGAGAACCCTGGCTTATTGGAATAAAAAATTCAGCTAATACGACCAAAATATTATAGAATAAATTTTTTAAGCTGAAGTAAAGTCAGCAAATAGCTTCAAAATTGATAATAAAAATTGCCAAGCAAAAGAAAAATGTTGTCAGTTAAGGGATTAAGTTACCAGGCAGCTTAGTTTCAATTTAGACATAATTTCAAATTAGGCAAAAAGTAGTAGCAGCTGGTGAATGAAGCAGCTCTGAGAAGGCAGAATTTAAAACTCTAAAAACTGGCATTGAACAACAAAGGCCAAATGCCAGCTTCTGGGGTGGGGAACGTTTGACACCGATTTTCAATAACCCTATTGATCTTCAAGAGTACAACACTAGTCCCTTTTCTATAGAAATTAAATAAATAAATAAACTGCAGAATTCTTGCCCCATACCCACAGACATCCACAGCACACAAAGATTGCTTTTTTGCCTAATGTTAAATTTTACATTGGCAAGTTCTCTTCCAATGAGAGATGCCTTTGGAGGGATTAAGATAAGGGGTACAGTAACAGTTAAATAATTTCCAGAAATGTTAAATGTTATGTAGTTCATTAATAACATTTGCATTAAAGAGAGTATTAGCAGTTCATAAATAAATTTTTGTCTTTTCCTCATTAAAATATACTGAAAGTACTTGTTTATACATTTCTGGTTATTATTATTCAAATTCTATTACTATTTTAAAGGGAATTTTTTCTTTGTTGCTTAATGTTATTATTCAGTCAGTGTTATCAAAATAACCTTTGACAAATATGATCACATTAAGCCCTGTACCGCCATTTTCATAAAATTCCAACTACATCCTTTTACAAATTGTTGCATTAGTACAGAAAATTATGTATTCAGTTATGAACATTTACACAAAAATTTCTTAGAACAGTTAACTAACTGTTCCAATATATATAACAAATATTTTATACCAGCGGAAATACCCGATGCTAGTTAGATTAGATTGAGAGTAATGCATCTAACAACAGAGAGAATGATACCACTGTAATCCTTCTCTAATTATCGATATTTGATATAACAAAACCGGTTGAGGGTGTTTTCTTCTGTTACGAGGTATTTTTATTAAAACAAGACAATTCATTTAAATGCATTTTTATTGTAAAGCTATGCAATATAAAATATTTCGAGTTTTACCACCAGGAGCGAAAATGTAGCATTATAATGTATACTGTATATATAAAGAAAAATTTCTGTGTGTTTGTTCACAATCAACTTAGTCACTATATCTATCGTCACCAAACTTTACAATTCTTTTCTGGGTCCTGGAAAAAGTCAATGTCCACTACCTCCCAAAAAAAAAAAAGACTAAAATCAGAGCTATTAATTAAAAACTCTGAAAACGCTAATTTTTGCCCTCACTCTTCCGAGTGGCAACAATCTCACGATGGTGATAAAAATGCTTTATTTTGAAAACTGTTGCCACTGCTTGCTTTCAAATTTTAAGTTTAATAAAAAATTTACAAGTTTTACAAAATCTGAAATAAAAGTAGAATTGCCAAATGTTATATTATTCCCGATTCCAAAAATTCATAGGAAGCCATTTCGACCATTAACATCTGCGAACGACTTTAATCAGCCGAGACATTAATTGAAAACTCTGAAAACATTAATTTTTGCACTCATTTTTTTGAGTAGCAACAGTCTCGTGCGCTGGAGATAAAAGTGGTTTATTTCAGGGGGAAGGGGGAGAAACGCTATACATATATTACGGAAAAAACTACAAAAGTATTTCGATTGTTTTACTCTTGACATCATTTGAGAATTCGTATAATAGCCTATTACACATCATAAAGAATATGAGGCGTCATTGTAATGCATAAAGAATATGAGGGGTCATTGTAATGCATAAAAAATGCCAAAGAAACAAAGTAATACTCAATATATGCACCACAACTGACTAGGTAATCACGCAACAATGGCACACAGCCATTGTTGCTGATATATCACTGTTGCCATTGTTGTTGATATCAGCGCTGTTGCCACTCCAAAAAATGAGAGCAAAAATTAGCATTTTAAAAGTTGTTAATTAATATTTCTGATTTTAGCCCTCTTTTCAGTCTAAAAGGGCAATTTGTCCTGAAGGACTATTAATTTCGTTTCGGCATTTTGCGTTGAAAACTTTAAAAGGCTATATCCCTTTTCAAATCGTTAACACCATATATTATCACCCTGGATCATATTTAAAGGTGTATTTAATTATGGCAAAGCACACTAGGGCTATCTGCCTAAGGGGAGGGATGCCTTCGTGGAGGACTTTCTAAGGGAAACTGGCTCATATACACGTTACACATGGGGAAAACCATGAAAACGCCCATGCAGACAGCCGATTCGCGGGATTCGAACCTCGGACCGAACTACTTTACCGCTCAGCCGCTGGTGGGCTGATCATATTTAAAGAAATTAAATAAAGAATCTGCATAAATGTATTTATGTTTCTCGCACTGTGATAAAACAACAGTACCTAAAGCCATCAAAATTTGAATAACATAATCTTCCATAAAATATGGGCATGTGGAAGCCCTAATTTGAATCTGAAATTTGTTTTATTATCAACTTCAGATTTTGTAAAACTTTAACAAATTTTTTATTAAAAAACTAAACGATTTCAAAGCAAGCAATGGCAACACTGTACGAAAAACAAGATTTTCATCTCCAGCGTGCAAGACTCTGTATCGGAAATTCTAATGATATGCTCATTGTAGAACATTTGGTGACGATAGCTATAGTAGTGACTGAGTTATTAGCGAACAAACAAATACACAGGCTTTCTTCTTTAAATATATATAGATAAATATGTGTATTTGCATTTTCGAGATAATATGGCTAGACTTTCAAAATGTATGCAGTTACAGTCATCCAAATTTAACACACATACATACAAAAAAGATAAAAGAATGAAAAACAAGAAATTAAGTAACATTAAGTACACACCTGAGGTTCATTATACCAAATGCAACAACCCCCCTGATCTGTTAATCGGGTATTCCAGCAATTCTTCCCTCGACTCGAACAGTTGGAGTGGTACCAAACCTAAACATTGATCATGAATCAATAAAAATACTGTAATTAAAAAATCATCAGAAATTTAGATTTGATAATAATAAACTTAAAAGAAAATACCTTCTCAGGAACTGCAGAAACTAAAGAAATAGCAAGGCCCATTCTAAAATAAAATTGTACATGTAAGTGATCATGAAACTTACTAAATAAACAGATGACAGTCTTCACATAAAAGTCAGAAAAATTATCCCAGATAAAAATTTTTAACTGAACTAGTACATGTGTAGAAATTCTTAACTGAAATTTATAGTGGCATTTAAAAAATATTTAAGTAAGACTTAAATAATGATTATAGGTTAACCCCTTAACTGCCGCGGGCATATAAATATATGCCTTGCCCAGCCAATGCGCTAACTGCCACGGGTGTATATATACACCCTACCAAAATACTATCATTTGCTTTGCGCTGCTACCTGTAAAATTATTCGCAAAGCTTTGGAATGCAACACCACAATGACCTTTGCAAAGTATGTGAAGGAGGATACTATTTCAGAAAATAGTGGGGAGAAATTGGAGAGAGGGATGTGTTTAAAGCAGTGAAAGTATTGACTGTGCGGTATTGGCTGGTGTTGTTTGAGTAAAAACGTATTTTTTTTTTTATTATTCTGTGTCCTCCGTTTTTGTTTACTTTTTGTAGCAGGTTCCAGGAATAAAGAAAGATATAACGGATGTTTTAAACCCACTTATCTTTTTTGAATTATTTTTTGATGAACTGCTTGTGCTTCATATTGTTACTGAAACTAACCGTTTTGTAGACGAGTATATAAACCAACACCTTGCAAACGAAAAATCAAGGCATTCAACCAGTTCAGAAGATATATGTTTTTTTAGGCATACTGATTTCACAAGGTATAACACTGAAACCTGATATTACACGTTACTGGTCTAAAAATGAATTGATCGAAACTCCATTTTAGGGATCTTTTTTATTATAAAAACATCATTTTTATTATACTTACATCTTTTTATTATACTTTTACTAAAAACATAAAACTTTGTGCATTCATTTTTTTCTTTTATTCTTTATTTTATGAAAGTAAACAGTTTTTAGAAAGTAAAACTTGCACTTATTTTCCCCCTAATACATCGCATGACTATGCGCGCCTGTGTGGAAAAATGTGGCACTGGGAAATGAATCTTGTATGTTTTCCACGGCAGTTAATGGGTTAAGTAAATGATTATAGAATACAAAGTGCAAAATCTAGAATGATCTTCAACAGCTAAAATAATAAAAAAATCCACCATGCTTACAAAATCTAGACACGGAGAACATAATACTCAACAAAAGGAAGCAGATATGATGTAAATGCGGTTTTTCTCCAGTCTAACAGAGATTCCTGCAAGTCACTTTCAGACATAAGCTATAGAATTGCACTGTGGGCAACAACAATGTATTAATAGACATTGTATTAAATTAGCCAAGATCACACTGGCATTATGCCTTTTGTTTTCTAATCCTTCTGCACATGAATCTTGATGCCAGATTTAAATATAGAAGTAAGATCCAAGATCGAAAGTTCTAATGAGGTTGTGGATATTGATATGTGTGTATGTGTGTGTGTGTAGTGAATGAGGGAATTATGCATATGTGAAATATCAGGTGGAAATCATAACTATTATTACAATTTGATGACAAATATTTTAGCATGTAATGTTAAAATGGGTTTCATGTAATGTTTCATGCAACATGTTATGTAAATATCTACATCATTTGTATTACATATGAATCACATGACAAGGACTGATTTTGAAACAAAGCAATTCAGATTGATTTTAGTATGTAATTGTTTTTAAGAAAGAAAACGAAAATGAATTTAATGTGAGACAAAAAGGCATTGATACAAATTAAAGTCATGATTTTGTTTTATATACTTTTTATCTTACAGATATGCTCTATATAAATATTTATTTGCTTACTTAAAAATTCAGTAATTAATACAAACTAAAAAATAAGAATTTATGAAAAAACATGTATACAAAATGATCCAACAGGCCAGTTAGACCAAAAAGCAAACTTAATACCCACCAAGTGAAATGCATGCTCAAGAGCTTTTGAAACTCAGATCAGCAATGCTTTTATTTTGCTCATATGTTGCTCTGAGTACAATGCACTGTATTTTATCTCTGTAACTGGCAACAGATAATTCATTTGTGATAAACAAATGTTGATAAAACTATGACTGATTAAAGCAACACTGGCTAAAATAAATTTATTGTATTACATATCATTTCAATTGAAATTTTCTCTCATGAACCTCTTCTGAAGTTTATTTATTAACACCAAATACATTGCAGTTTCCTTTAGTTGATAAAATCCTTAGCATCATTTTGTTTCAAACAAAATGTTTGCCATCAAAGCTGATAGATAAAGAAAAATAATCCACGCATCAATGCTCAATGAAAATAAATTGTCAAACAACAGTACAATTCTAAGTAGGCATATCAGACATCCGCTTTGACTAGAACTGTTCCACTTTGATGGTATGGTCCACATATCACAGCCAGCTTGTCATTTTGTTCTGGTTATTTGGGAAAAATTTTAAAAGCAGAAAGTTTATGAGAAGTAAAAAAGTGCAGCTTCCGGTAAAATAGCAATTTGGCATTTAAAATACATGCTCTGTTATTCTTGCTAATACCAATTTATATATTTTGTATCTAAATCTTGTTGTCTAGATATTTTGTATCTAAATCTTGTTGTCTAGATATTTCTCCCCAAAATTATAGCATGTGACCTAATGAATTCAGTTTTTTATTCAAAAGGGTGTTATCCCAGAAGGGCTGTTAATTTCATTTTGGCATTTTGCATTGGTTCATTATAAATGGTGTTTCATTTTTCAAATTGTTGCCAACAAATATTAGAGCCATGCATTATGTTTAAAGAAATTAAATAATGAAGAATTTGCATGACTGTATGTTTGTTTTTCGCACTGTGAAAAAAAACAACGGTACCCAAACATATCAAATTTTTAATAACATAGTCCTCAATTCAAATATGGGCATCTGGAAGCTGAAATTTGAAATCTGGAATAGGTTTTATTATCTATTTCACATTCTGTAAAACTTTAAGTGATTTTTTATTAACAGACTCAACGATTTCAAAGCAAAAAATTGCAACACTATACGAAAAAACATTTTTGTCTCCAGCGCAGGAGACTGTGTATCAGAATTCTAAAGATATGCTATTTTTAACTTATTTCGTGATATTGCTGCTAAATTGAAATTTTATGGTTTAAGTGCGAAGAACATGATATTTAATAAATAAAGATAACACACAAAATGTAAAAAAAAACCTTGTGGGCATAATATAAAATTTGAAAAGTTTTGTCCCTAAAGGACTATTGTTTCTGTTTTGCGATTTTGTGATGAATCACTATAATGTCCATTTTACTTTCCAAACTGTTGCCATCAAATTTTAGAGTCCTGTATTATATTTGAAGAAATTAAATAATAAAAAATCTGCATAAATGTATGTATATTTCTCGCATTGTAAAAAACGACGGTACATAAAGACATCGAATTTTGAATTACGTAATCCTCCTATGAATATGGGTATGTGGAAGACCAAATTTGAAATTTGGAATTTGTTTTATTATCCATTTCATATTTTGTAAAACTTTAACAAACTCAAGGATTTCAAAGCGAGCAATGGCAACACTCTATGGGGGGGGGGAACCTTTTTATCTCTAGCGCACAGAACTCTGTATCAGAAATTCTAAAGATATGCACATTTCAAAATTATTTTGTGACATTGCTATTGAACTAAATTTTATCGTTTAAGTGCAAAGAACATGATATTTAATAAATTAATTAACACAAAACGTTAAAAAAATGCCCCTTTGGACGCAATTTAAAATCTGAAACCCTTCAGATTTCTTTTGTGTTTGATACACTGAATATAAGTTTCTCTCTCTCTCTCTCTTTTTTTAATAATTTCACCTGTCCCCTCATTGTTGCGGGGGAAAAATCTTTCATTCCCCCAGCACATCTCCACTGTGCATGGTTTATCTTAGTTGAATTGGAATTGCAAGTTGGCATTTGCAATTATTTTGTGCTGTACATTAAATAAATTTAATCTTCATAATACCAAAAAAGAAACTGTGTATATTTACGAATTAAATTATGACTATCCATAATACCAAACAAGAAACTGTGTATATTGATGAATTAAATTATGATTTTCCATTTTCGAAAAAAGTTTATGATTATACTGGTAAAGTGAACTACGAATTGTGCTTTTCAGAATTTTCAGTAGCTCGTAGGCATTCAGATACTGCAAATCACTTAAAACATACGTGAAACATATGGGGAAGCCCAGTTAGCAGTGGCTGGAACTTCCCCAAATATATTATAAAGATACTAATTTAAGAAACAAAGATTTCTTAACGGCAGCTAAAGAAGCAACTTTTACATTCCATGTCGTTATTTCTCCGCTTCAAATTTCAGCTGAATGCCAATCGGCAAAAATGGAGGAGAAAAACCATTTTTTTTTTCATTGCCCAATCTTGTTTAAATAATAGAATGCATTTTCGGCACGTTAAGTACATCGGCACCAGTCAAAAGAATATTCTCAATAATGAATATCATATGGTCTGAAGAAAGAGGCAGAATGGCTGAATCAAACATAAATGCTTTATTAAATTACAAAATTAACAATGAACTAAATTGCAGCGAATTTTTCTATGTGATTAAAATAACAGACAATTTTTAAAGCCTAATTTAAAGCAGAATGCTAAAACTGATGTAGAAAAACTGCAAAAATGTAGAATATTTATAAATCTAAATTGGTTAATCGAAATACAATTGTAAATCATTAGAATATTCTCAAACATTATTTTACTTCTAGAATTTGTTAGAATTCTATTGCTTAAAATTAATAAGTTTCATATACTTATTAATGAAATGCACAAATTAAAAAAACAAATGAATTGTTATACTATTGTCATCACCATGACAAGCAAAATTGGCAATAATTACGTGATATAATTGAACATCATTAAATTTAATTGTTTAAGTCATGCACAGAATTTTTATGAAAAGGATATTCCTTAAAATTAACTTCTTGATACCATTTTACAAACAATCCAAGCTCAGTAATTACAAATATACATACCTCTCAGCCCGACCTACTCTACCAATGCGGTGCACATAATTATTCTTTTCATCGGGTAATGTCATATTTATCACTGCAAAATAACCAAAAAAAGTTTACACAATGTGAATTTATGTGGATATCTTCTTTACTGCAATGTTATTTATTTAATCCAGTAAGTAAAAATAAATTAAAATTCCTGGTTTTACCTGAGAAATGAAATATGCGTTCAAAAATTTGCAAAATTAAATTATACATGTTTAACTGTTTTTCTTAATATATATACATGAATAATTTTTTATTAAAAATTTTATTATTAGCATTTTTTAAACATTTTAATTATTAGATTTGTTATTCACAACCCAATTAAGAATAAACCTTTAGAAACAGATATTCATAAAAGGAAGTTACATCATACATTCATATAAATTGTAATACAAAGAAATTTCTATCGATTAATTTTAATGCATAGAATGATGTATACAGTATTCATTACTAAACATTATTTAAACAAACATATGAATGATTACTTATTTTGGAATCTACATTCAAATTTAATTATTTAAGAATAATACTTCATTACAAAATTTCAGCATTAAGGATAATAAATATTTTCTGTAATAAAATAATAATAATGCTTTCCACATTTATAAGTAAGGTTAAAAAATGGAAGTAAGCCATCCTACCATATGGCACACCAGTCACATCAATGCCTCTGGCAGCTACATCAGTGCATATTAAGAATTTCACTTCCCCCCTCTGAAAAACAAAAAGAAATATTCAGTTCTCTTTATGTTAACATGGAAAAAAAAAAGAAAAAAAATAACAATAAAAAATTTTAAAAATCAAAAAGCTTTTAGATTTTATATTACACCTAAAGGTGTGTTGTGTACTTTTAATGGGGGGGGGGAGAAGATCAAAACTTATAAGTATGCATTACATACCAAATATAAAAATGATATATTTAAAAATAAGGAAAGGACGAGCATGCAAAAATTAGATTTCTACATGTAACTAAATGTTGTTTATTTAAAAGAAATGGAATATCTTATGAATTAAAAAATTTTCATTATCGGATTATTTGAAAAGTTTGTCTTCTGTTATACCTTCAAGCATACCCTCGAATTCTGTTTCATCTTCACCATCACTTTAACTCTGATACATAAATAAATCATCATCTTCCATTCCATCTAGATTGGTAGATACACTACATTTTTTAAGTAACTTTTGTATTATATCGGGTTTAATTTCATTCTATGCTTTTATTATCCACTCGCACATTATTTCTAGACTTGCATGACGTATTTGGCTTCCTTTTGTAAATGTTTTTTCACCTTCTAACATCCACATACTCCTTTGTTATTTAAATTTTTTTTGAATGGTTTACTGTACATATATCTAAAGGATGATTTAATGGCAGTAATTCGGCAGGAATAACTGTCATTTCCATATTATATTCATTCAACAAGTCCTTCATATTATCTGTTAAATAGGACCATAATATGTTCCAAACTAAAAGATTTTTTTGGATTCTTTAAAGCGACAAGACTCTTTTGCCAACATTTCTTACCCACAATTTCATACCATTTTCATCCATCCATCCTTTCCCATGAATCTGAATGAAAACACCATTGAGGAAATTACATTTCAGTGCTGTCTTTCTTTAAAAAAAACCATGGGTTTTAATTTTGTACCATCTTTTAAGCAAGAAAGAATTACTGTGAGGTGAGTTTTTTTTTTTTTTTTTTTTTTTTTTTTTTTTATCGAAAAACACAAACTGTTATTAAGTGCACCACTGTTTTTATGTGAACCATTTTTGTTCCTTTCACATCTATTGCTTTATTTTCAATCATATCAAACATTGCTGGATTTCTTCCATATTTCCAGTACATGAGAGTAAATGATCTTTTTCGCCTTCGTAAGTCAATAAACACACTTCTGGAAACTTATCAATTAGTTCATCAAATCTTTTGGAAGCCCTTGAAAAACTTTTGTTTTTTCCTTGTAAAACAAATTTATTTTGTGCTATAAATCAAGTGCACCAACTCAAAGTTGCTTTACACAGTTTCCACTTTCATTTGCACTCTTTTTTGACAACTAAGGTAAATAAACATATGCTGTTTACTAATTCAGAAGTCAAACAACAAAAATCAGCGTTATACCTACAAAATTTTCACAGGACTAGTTTCGACGGTTTCACCGAACCATCATCTTCAGCTGCAAAACCGCAAATGAACAAGATAGGAAATAATGATTAGATAAGATAAGAAAGCCCGGACAAGAATAAGCAAGTGGCGCCATCTGTTGGCGAAACCAGAACTAAAACATAATTTCTCTAAAAGCCGAAGGCAAATTTGGATTGGAATTAGGATCGTTAACTAGAACAGAAAGATTTTTATGAATGTGAAATGCCTCTAGAAAATCCAGTTCTCCAATGGAAGATGTTTTTTGAATAATTTTGGCAGCAGAAAAATTGAAAGTGTGATTTTCGGACCAACAATGTTGAGCAACAGAAGACTTCTGTGTTTCCTTTTTTCTAACATATGCCTCATGTTCTTTGACGCGAAATTTTAAGGCTCTCTTAGTTTGGCCAATGTAAATTAAACCACACTGGCAAGGAATCCTATAAATACCCCAGGAATTCATATCCGGAATGGGGTCCTTGAGTATAGAAGTTGGAATTTTATTGATGGGAGAATAAACAACCCGAAAGTTAAATTTCTGCAAAATATGTGCAACTTTATAGCTAATTGATGGAAAGAAGGGAATGACAACAGAATTTTTATAATCTCCTAAAATAAGAGTGTGGCTTTTAGTGTGTTGAGATGAGAATTTTTTAACTGCTTGATTAATAATGTTGGGTGAAAAGCCCCTGTCAATAGCTATTGCTTTTAAATAATTTAGTTCTTCATCAAGGGCTAGTTTGGAGGAGCAAACTTGAAGAGCACGGAAAACATAGGAATAAAATGAAGCTAACTTTTGTTTAGTCGGATGACATGATTTAAAGTGTGGTGGAAGGCAAACCGATGAAGGTTTACGGTAAACTGTAGTACTGAAGTTGGATGTGTTACGTGTGACCAGAATGTCGAGAAACGGAAGAGAATTGCAAGTCTCAAGTTCAAAAGTGAACTGAATAGCAGGATCAATAGAATTCATTGTTGAAAGAACTTTATTTAAATCATCTTTATTACCTTCAAACAGGGTAAAAGTATCGTCTACGTAGCGGAACCATGCCGGGAAGTTTAAAGTTTCAAACAATTTTGATTCATAATAATGCATGTAGATATCAGCCAGGATGGGACTGAGGGGGCTTCCCATGGCTAATCCCTCAGTTTGCTTGTAATATTTATTTTGGAAAACAAAATGTGTTTGTTTCAAACAGAGTTGAGTGAGAGAAATTAGCTCATCAATTTCGATGCAAGAGAAATGAAATTCGCGAAGTCTGGTTTCTAGACATCTTAATGCACCCTCCACTGGGACATTGGTGAATAATGATTTTACATCAAAAGAAACCATGAGTAAATTACTAGGAGAAATGTTTTTTAACCTTTTTTACAAACTCTATTGAATTTTTTATGGTGTAAATGTTATTGTCTAATAGAGTGGAAAATCTAGAAACTAAATATTTAGCTAAAGGATACGAGGCAGTACCTAAATTTGATACAATAGGGCGGAAAGGAATACCACTTTTATGAATTTTGGGAAGAGCATATAATCTGGCACAATTCGCAACAGATGGGATAAGCGAATGTTTTAAGTTTAATGTTTAAGTTGCTTGAAATGATTTGCGAAGATTTGATCGCAGTTTTTATTTTGGATAAGTCCGAAGGTGAAGGATCTTTAGGGATCGGATTATATGGTCCTTCGTTTAAGAGTTTAGTGACACCATCGATGTAAGTGTTCTTATCCATGACGACTATCTGGCCACCTTTGTCGGCCTTTGAAATGATAATATCCGGGTTAGAATGAATTTCGCGCATTGTAGCTCTTTCTCTCGCAGTTAGATTTGGTTTCAAAGGTTTATTATTGAATTTCACATTATGAGCGATAAGATGCCTAATCATTTCTTTCTGTGAATCTGAAACTTTACTGAACTTGAAAGCTTTTTCGATAGGAGCCAAAATCTTTGGAATCGAGGGTTTACAGGTTTGTGAGAAGTTAAAATTATATTTTAGAATTCTCTCTTGTTCTTCTGAAAGACTAACATTAGAAATATTAACTATTGGCTTGATGTTTACAATGGGAAGATTTTTTGAACTACTTGAACTGGAAGACTGTAAAAGAAGTTTTTCGAATTTAACTGCAAGGGTGTTTTTATGACGGTTAACTGCATTCTCCGTTCTAGACCAAGACTTTTGTTCAAGGGCAGTGAATTTTGGATATGATTTAGCGAGTTCCAGATGAAGCTTATAGAGTTCATGTTCAATTTTGGACAATTGTTGACGTGTATCCCTTATCACGGACCGAAGTAAGGCAAGCTTGCAATTTAACAGAATTCTTGAAACGCGACTCGAAGGTTTTTGATTAGATTTGATTTGAATAAAATTGGGGATCAATTTTTTACATTTACATTTAAGTAAAAAGTCAAGATGATTCAGGAATTTTTGCCGTTTCAGGCGTAATTTAGTGAAACGATTAACGGATGAAGGCATGATAAACAATGCAGAAAATCAAACTAAATTAACTGAGCAATAATAAAGTACACACAAAACAGCAGAAAAATCCCTCACTGAAATGAATAGAAAACAAAACGTTTGTAAGCAAAATGCATGAAATCAGACAAGCAAAGCACAATATCCAAATGTACAAAACATAAACATAACTTGAAAATTGCAAAAATGTACTCACCGAAACTCCTACAATCACAAAATGGCGGCCACACCACGTGCAAAAAAGAAAGCAAAATGTAAGCCTGTTTGGGGCTTCTATAATTAAGACACAATAACACGCCGAATAAATACTAATTCAGAAGTCAAACAACAAAAATCAGCGTTATACCTACAAAATTTTCACAGGACTAGTTTCGATGGTTTTTTACCGAACCATCATCTTCAGCTGCAAAACCGCAAATGAACAAGATAGGAAATAATGATTAGATAAGATAAGAAAGCCTGGACAAGAATAAGCAACCCAAATTAATCTCTCATCTCAACACACTAAAACACACTCTTTTTAGGAGATTATAAAATTCTGTTGCTTCTTTCCATCAATTAGCTAAGTTGCACATTTTGCAGAATTTAACTTTCGGGTTGTTTTTTCTCCCATCAATAAAATTCCAACTTCTATACTCAAGGACCCCATTCCGGATATGAATTCCTGGGGTATTTATAGGATTCCTTGCCAGTGTGGTTTTAATTTACATTGGCCAAACTAGAGAGCCTTAAAATTTCGCGTCAAAGAACATGAGGCATATGTTAGAAAAAAGGAAACACAGAAGTCTTCTGTTGCTCAACATTGTTGGTCCGAAAATCACACTTTCAATTTTTCTGCTGCCAAAATTATTCAAAAAACATCTTCCATTGGAGAACTGGATTTTCTAGAGGCATTTCACATTCATAAAAATCTTTCTGTTCTAGTTAACGATCCTAATTCCAATCCAAATTTGCCTTCGGCTTTTAGAGAAATTATGTTTTAGTTCTGGTTTCGCCAACAGATGGCGCCACTTGCTTATTCTTGTCCAGGCTTTATCTTATCTAATCATTATTTCCTATCTTGTTCATTTGCGGTTTTGCAGCTGAAGATGATGGTTCGGTAAAACCATCGAAACTAGTCCTGTGAAAATTTTGTAGGTATAACGCTGATTTTTGTTGTTTGACTTCTGAATTTAGTATTTATTCCGCGTGTTATTGTGTCTTAATTATATGCTGTTTCTTATCTCAATTAACCCAGTTACGACCCAGTTCACAACACTTTCTTCTAGGATAGGCCAACACTTCGTTACTCCTTTATGCAAAAGCACATTTATTCTTTGGCATATTAATTATTGTGATTTCATATTTCTCCCACTCACATATAGAGCATATCACACCAACACCAAACATCCTTGCAACAACACACTTTCCATTTTCCTTAGCAAATTAACTAGCTTTTCATTTGAAACCAGCAGTGTTTGTTTCATTTGGCAGGAGCCATATTTACTAGTAAAAGTAACACTAGTTCAACTGCATTTCAACTAAAGGATATGCGATTTACTAAAGCCTTCAATGTTTGCTTCATATAACTACAGAAAGAGAAAACATCTGACCCCTAATTCTATGAATGTATTTAAATTGGAAGTTAATTCTTATCCCAAATTATGTTCCCGTTATCTTGAAACCCTAAAATAACACTTTTGTTTAACCCTGCATTAAATACGCCCCTCCCTCTTTGCAGAGTTATTTACCCCCCAAGCCTTTCTCCACACACATACTGTTTCTTTATCGCATCTTAATTCAGTATACTATTGTTTGCAAGCCTGGGAAAAATCTTTGAATGAATGACTTCAAAGGATAACAGCATCGCACATGTATCTTCCAGGTCTCTTCATAAAAAAGAAGGATGTGCATTGTATGAAGAATAGACTTAAAAATTTTAAAATGTGGTTTGAAATTATAGGTGGTGTTACACATCAATGTGTATTATACGGTAACATATATGGTAATTTACAAAAAAATATATTCATTGGCCACATATAATTGCTTTGAGAGTAGCCAGTTTGAAACTACTGAATCTTTTTGCTACAATTTTACAATGGAATTCACATACCTCACTTTGAAATTAAACGATTAAACATTATTTTCAAATCTATATATCCAACAGACAACTTTAAATGTTAATAAAAACACTAATATATCACATGATGAATACAAATTTAATATAAGATATGAAATGGATGGTTTACTTTGAATTTTTCAAGATTCTCTTTTCTTTCAGCAGGCTTTCTATCACCATGCAAACATACACAGGAATAGGGATTATTTCTATTACGTGGTCCTAAAAATAACATGTACAAATTTTTAATACATATATAATATGGACTTGATTTAAAGTTTAAAAAGAGCAGCAAAAATAAAATTATACATTCCCATAAAATCAATGAAATTAAACTTTTAATAATTAGAGTTTAGCTCCTTTTAATTCCTTTTCCATAATGCAGGAAGCAAAAACCAAAATGATTTTTGTTTACAAACTGAATATTCTTATCTTTTTGGTTAATCAAAAACATTTCAACAGTTATTTAGCAGAATATGGTTATGCAGCCATTCCACATGGCCTTGTTTTTCTAGTATGAAAAAAAGGTGCTCATTACAGCATTTCCTCTTGTAAATCACATATTTTAAAACAATCAGAAGCAATAATATTTATTGTATTGATTAACAGAAAAAAAATTATGACTGCAAGTTTAAATTTATTTAAAATAACTAAATAAAATAGAAAACTGCATGATTATGGTTTTTTTTAATTTAATTTTATTTATTTATTTATTTTTATTTAACTAGCTCTCTGCATGTTCTTAATCTAAATGACAGGCTTAAAAAAAAAAAAAAAAAAAAAAACGGGGGGGGAGACAGGTAGTTTTTCAAGGAGAGTATTTTCAAGATGAGCACAAAGACATTTAATTTAAAAGCAATTATATTGTATTTTAATTGATTATGTTCACAATCTATTTTAGAATTAATGCATTTTTAATTAGACATTATATGTGCAATTTGAATGAAATAACTTTAAACTTAAAATGAAATAACTTTTTAACTTTTGCATAATTCAAAAACATGAACAGTTTAATAAATAATAGTATGTTTTATTTCAAATATTTTTTTAAGCTGCATAACTGCTAATATCACAGTATATTTTTTAAATTAAATTATAAACCTACCTCCACCCAGTGCATTAAGATGATTCTCCATATTATCACAGTCAATTTTGGTCCGACAAAAAATAATGCCTTTATCCATTTTATGCTCATTTATAGCTGTAATCACATACTCTCCTTTCAATAATTTTACTGCTTCAGACAACATTTCTGAGACAATAAATTAACAGTAATTAACAAAAAATCTTAACATCTTTACAAGTACTCAAACATTTATTATAACAAAAGTACAATTACAGTCGCATTTGTTCCAGGATATCTTGTACATATTAAATGTCACAAAAGGAAAAAATAAGTCATTTTTGCAGATATAAAAAGTGAATATTTAAAATGTACAATTAACCATATCAATATATGACATTATAGATAACTAAAGTCTATGAATATAGGTAACTACAAAATACTGTGTCTTAATCATAAATGTATGAAAATGACATCCTTAAAATAGTTTTTATTTGCTTAATTTCCAAATTTATTGACTTGTATGCTACTCTATACAAAGATATTAAAAAAAAAAGAAAAATAGAATTCAATTTAGCTAAAAAAACTATAACGCATGAAAATGACATTGTCATAAATTTCTATAAATATTTAAATTCAATTGATTGCATTGCTTTTTTTTACGTATTGTTATAATAATGCACAATGTTTTATCTACTTATTTATTTACTGCTTTCAAGGGTGATAGTTTTAGGCTTTGTTTTGTATGTAATTGAATTTGTGGCCACATGTTTCATACATACCCTATTTACTCACTTAATTTCCCCCCTTTTCCTACTAATTTTATTGCTTGAAAGTTGCAGGGGGAAAAATACACAGTATTTTCAATTTCTACACAGACTGCTTAAATGATAAACAGAACACATTACAAAGGACACTTATATTATGCATTTCAAATAAATTTCAGTAATATTCCTTTTACTTACACAAATTACTTTCCTATTTATGCATGCATTTTACATTATTACCATGAATCAGAAGTTTCTAAATTGTATGCTGAAATACTAGGTTCTTACACATTTCTGCACATGGAAATTAAATACTTTCAAGGACCATTAATGAAAAAAATTAAGGGTCTATCAGCAAATGGGAGCTGTATAAATTCAATTAACTTATGTCTCAACTCCATTTTTGTAATAACACTCTAAGAATATAATAGAGTAGTAGGGTGCATTCTTATTAAACATAATTTAGTCTACAGGTTTAGTAAATAGCAGGTAGATTTTATGTCAAATGGCATAGGTTAAAATGAGAAATAAAATCATTATCAGCATGATTTGTAACAGAAAATTCTTGTTAACTTGTTAATAGTACAGAACAGAAGATAACTTGTTGGCCAATGCCGCTACTTGCCTAGAGAAAGATCTGTTGATCAGAACAAACCTGAAAGCCTGATGTAGTTTTGAGGTTGGCAAGTTTTGAAAGTTAGTTGTGTTCCATCTGCCTGATGCAGTTACTGTTATAGCTTCACGAAGGGTTCCTGGCATTGTAACCTAGTTGATATATTTTAAGCTTCCAATACACCATTAATGCACCAGAGGTGATAAGTTGTTTTGTGTTATTTTAAGTTTCACTAGATGCAAAGGATAAGTTTCACATTAATTTCTAAATTTATGTGCTGTATGTTGTGACCACAGTAAGGATTAATGAAAGGCAATAACTTGCTTTAATATGCAGAGATAACTTTTAAAGGTAAGTGGTTAGTTACAAATAATTAAATTAGGTAGCGTTATAGGTTTACATTACAACTATTAAATTTTTTTATTTTTTAAAAACATTTGTTGAAAAAACAGTATTGAAACCACAATCTAATAACATTTCAGAGTTTAAAATGCATGTAATTTTAAACTGTCAGTTTCAAATCAATGTCATAACATTGATTCTTAAATGGTATTAGGATGATTTCACATTAAAAGCTACAAAACATTCATGTTTTGTAGCAACAACACATAACAAAATATTTATGTGTCTTTTTAATTTGAAGCCTTCCCAGACATTTGGGCTTAATTTATATCAATTTTTTTCTCTCTAAACATCTTTCCTAACAATTAAAAATCTGTTTCAATACACAAACCAGTGTTCTCACTAGTTTCTGTGTGCTTTTTCTCCTAATTTGCCAGTCTCTTAACAATGTACATAATGAGGTTTTACTTGATCTGGCAAAAGTTAAATGGTTCAAAACCTCTTATAGACATGAAGCAAATTATCGCTATGTCTGAAAGTAACTACAAAGTCACATAAAGGTTTAAATAAACCTTTTATGTAAAAAAAACTTAGAACATGCAAACAAGTTTCCATGTTGACAATATCAACTACAGCTTGTGGTTATGCTATTAAACAGGAACAGTCAAATTCAAACTAAAAAAGTGGACTAGTAGTCAAAGGCTACACAATTTAATTTTAATCTAAGCTGGCTCAGTAACTTTATCGTCGTAACAAATTCAAATGATAGCGGCAATTACACAAAGATGAATAATTAAAAATTATCAGAGCTGGCAGAAACTAATGCATCCAAGTGGAAAGCAAAAACACTTTGTCTTTCAGTCCCCAAACCTCAGTTTAAAAACTATCTGATTTGCATTATGGAGAGGAAACTGAAAGGATAACTTATAGTAAAGGCTAAAATTATAAACAGCTGGTTAATTTGCATAATAATAACTGTACATAACATCAAAGAATAATTTTCTTCAGTTTCTTTCTTCAAGTCTTCTTCACATAGGAATTTTTGGAACTAATTAATTTTTAGAATTTAGTGACACACTGAGTAACAAAATCTAGAAATGCAAAATTTTTAGAATTCAGGACAGGCAGTGAGAGCAGAATTTAGGATCCATGGAGATTGCATCAGGTGGGAAAATGCCTTGTGTCAGCCCTGTGTATGATCCATTGAGATATATAAGGTGAATCTTTTAAATTGTTAGTTTTCAATTTCTTTATTAATAGAAAATTTCTTTTATATAAATGCCTGTCCATGCGAAAAGATTAGAAATATTTTTGAAATTTTCCATACATGTATCTAGTGAAAAGTTGAGAAAATAAAGGGAAGAAAAACATGTTAAGAAAAAAACTTCTAGTATCAGAAGTATAACATTCAAACATTATGTTTTCTTAGTCCTTCCAAAAATTCTCCAAAATGTAAGAAATTCATCACAAACTTTCTGTTAAATATATCCATTATGTGTTAATACAATGAAGACGTTCTCATTTTGTCAATTATTTCTGGAGCCTTCTAGAATTGTGGGTCTATAAACCTTGCCTTCAAATCCTTCTAACTTTCCAAGTTGCAATGTGTAAAATTATAAAGAAAAATTAGCTTTACCAATTCTGCAAGAGAAAATAGGCTAGAAATATATTGAAAAAAAAAAAAAAAAAAAAAATCAGTTGAAAAAATGGAAATTTTATGCAGAAAATTTATATATATTCTGACAATTCAGAATATTCTGAGACAATTACATGGGAAAAATTCTTACCAGAAAAATGAAAGGAAGAAAATTTTAATTAATTATATAGTATTTGTTTTTGCTGTGAATTGTTTGTAAACTGTGCTTATAGTTTATTACCTTGTTTATTTTTCAGATTCAAATACTATAAATAATTCTCCAAAATGGAAAGTAATGCCACAATATGACAGCATAAAAATAAAATTTTATTTTTAATGTTATTTTAAAAATGTAATTTAATATATTACCATTATTTTAATTTTTTATCAATGTTATCGTTTCTCCCCCAAAAAATCGCGAAATATTCCCAGATTTCCGAATTAAAAAATTTCTATAGAACTTGATCTAAAATTCAAAATGTGAAATTGCCAATTAGAGCCATTAATAAAAGAATTCACATCCCCAAAAGCAGAAAGTTGTTTAAATCCTCTTCATTAGAAAAAAAATGAAATAATTTTGAAATGCTTATGTTTGACTCCTTGCTCAGAAACTCCAGTATCCCACCCCTTACATTAGAAATAGGAACAAATTATTTAATAAAACATAACTATATCCATGAACCCATTCAAAAGATAATCATATTTGTCAATGAATTGTCAAAAATATTCCTCCATAATGATAATTCACACTCAAAACAGTGGTCGTAAAAACAAGGCAGAAATTTCAGATAATTAAAATTAAGGCCTTTTGCCGATTTTGGCCGAAATTAAGGACTTTTAAGAACCAAAAATCGATTCCAGAAAAACCTAAGGACTTTTAAGGACCGTACGAACCCTGTGAAAAAAACTAGGGTGGAAAATATGTGAGAAGGAGACACATGCTAGCATATACGGTACATGTCCATTTCTTATACATAATTGCAGATCTTTCAGTTCTGAATCTAACAACATTTAAATTGTAAAAAAATACCTCAAATAGAATACAAGATATGAGCAAATATGCTCCTAAATAACCTTGATGATAATTTTAGTCACTAAGTTGGCATTTTTCACTCACCTGGTAACTTTTTTGAAGACTCAAGAAAACTTTCTGAAACCCTATGACAGACTTTTCACTGAATTTCTAGAAGCCTGTGCAACTCTATATAACTCCTAGTTAGTCGCTAATAAGCTGCAAGAGTAGTAGTTCAAAGAGTGTTAACGGAACTATGTTTTAATGATTTTAGTGAGTGATTTTGGGAATAATTGATATTCCTAAGAAACTGCTTAATTTTTACTCTCTCCTTATGCTATTTATCATTATTAATTACGCTGTGTATCATTTATTTTTATAACAAACTGAATTTCTTATCTGGAGTGATCGCTCAAAGAGAGAGCCACAAAAAGTTAAAGTTTGAAATATTTTAGTCAATTTCGACTATATTTTGAATTCTAAAGTTACAAAATATTTTCTCCCTCTTTTCTGCAAGTCTTTGTGGTGTAACTAGAAGCACACTTAACGCATGATTGGGAGGTCCAGAATTCAAATCCCAGCAAGAGCACAGTACTTTTTTCATGTTTCTTGCATTGATATAACCTAATGAGTTTACAAAAGGCACCCAAACATGGTGGGCAATAATTTATCACCATCAGGATTTGGTGATTGGGTCCTCTCATCTTCATCATCATCCCTCATCATTTTCTCATTCATTTCTGTGTGCCTGTGTAGAGTAACTGGAAGCTTACCTGATGTATAATTGAGAGATCCAGAATTCAAATTCTGGCAAGATCA